ACCATCGTCTCATCCCATACAGAACCCTCCATACAAGATCATCCCATACAAAACCCTTGTCTCACCCCATACAGAACCCTCCATACAAGATCATCCCATACAGAACCATCGTCTCATCCCATACAGAATCCTCCGTACAAGATCATCCCATACAGAACCATCGTCTCATCCCATACAGAATCCTCCGTACAAGATCATCCCATACAGAACCCTTGTCTCATCCCATACAGAACCATCGTCTCATCCCATACAGAACCCTCCGTACAAGATCATCCCATACAGAACCCTCGTCTCATCCCATACAGAACCCTCCGTACAAGATTATCCCATACAGAACCATCGTCTCACCCCATACAGAACCATCGTCTCATCCCATACAGAACCCTCCATACAAGATCATCCCATACAGAACCCTCGTCTCATCCCATACAGAACCCTCCATACAAGATCATCCCATACAGAACCATCGTCTCATCCCATACAGAACCCTCCGTAAAAGATGCCATACAGAACCCTTGTCTCATCCCATACAGAACCCTCCGTACAAGATGCCATACAGAACCCTCATCTCATCCCATACAGAACCCTCCGTACAAGATGCCATACAGAACCCTTGTCTCATCCCATACAGAACCCTCCGTACAAGATGCCATACAGAACCCTCGTCTCATCCCATACAGAACCCTCCGTACAAGATGCCATACAGAACCCTCGTCTCATCCCATACAGAACCCTCCGTACAAGATGCCATACAGAACCCTTGTCTCATCCCATACAGAACCCTCCGTACAAGATGCCATACAGAACCCTTGTCTCATCCCATACAGAACCCTCCGTACAAGATGCCATACAGAACCCTTGTCTCATCCCATACAGAACCCTCCGTACAAGATGCCATACAGAACTATCGTCTCATCCCATACAGAACCCTCCGTACAAGATGCCATACAGAACCCTTGTCTCATCCCATACAGAACCTTCCGTACAAGATGCCATACAGAACCCTCGTCTCATCCCATACAGAACCCTCCGTACAAGATGCCATACAGAACCCTTGTCTCATCCCATACAGAACCCTCCGTACAAGATGCCATACAGAACCCTTGTCTCATCCCATACAGAACCCTCCGTACAAGATGCCATACAGAACCATCGTCTCATCCCATACAGAACCCTCCGTACAAGATGCCATACAGAACCCTTGTCTCATCCCATACAGAACCTTCCGTACAAGATGCCATACAGAACCCTTGTCTCATCCCATACAGAACCCTCCGTACAAGATGCCATACAGAACCCTTGTCTCATCCCATACAGAACCCTCCGTACAAGATGCCATACAGAACCCTTGTCTCATCCCATACAGAACCCTCCGTACAAGATGCCATACAGAACCCTTGTCTCATCCCATACAGAACCCTCCGTACAAGATGCCATACAGAACCCTCGTCTCATCCCATACAGAACCCTCCGTACAAGATGCCATACAGAACCCTCGTCTCATCCCATACAGAACCCTCCGTACAAGATGCCATACAGAACCCTTGTCTCATCCCATACAGAACCCTTGTCTCATCCCATACAAAACCCTCCGTACAAGATGCCATACAGAACCCTCCGTACAAGATGCCATACAGAACCCTTGTCTCATCCCATACAGAACCCTCCGTACAAGATGCCATACAGAACCCTTGTCTCATCCCATACAGAACCGTCATCCCGTGTGCTACGGAGCGTCTGCGACATTGTCGGTGCTACATCAGTTTGGCCGCAATCGTTTTGGCCAATTCCACCGAACGGCATCGACAGCCGTGACCTCGGCACGAACCCCCTACACGTCGTCACGGTTGCACCCTTACAAAGATCCCCTGGATAGTCTTGGCAGACTGCTGGGGCAAGTGCTGTTAGCGAGTAGCGCCTATGAAGGCCGGCACTGTGGCACACGAGGGGGTGGGTGGCCAGCACTACGCCCGGCCTGCCTTTGTCTCCCCAGTGGCGATGATTACACATCGCACTGGGTACTCATTTGAGGCCGAGTCGACCTAGGGGAGGGTCCAGGACCGGTTCAGGTAATCGTCACCGCTGGTGTTGGTGGTGGCCGTGAGCGGGAATCAGACACACCGACACGCGCACGTCCAACGCAATGCGGTCCGTGACTCGCACAGCAATCCAAGTCCGGGGACTTGGAAATGACCCCCCACGGTGAGCGATTACTAAGAACCGATTCTTGGCGTCAGCTTCGTCAACTCACCCACACCGGAGTGGATAGATGAGTCAGCTGACCGAAGTGGTGTGGTAGGGGGGGGTCTTCGTCCGGGCTGTTTGGGGTTTTAGATTTCTTTGTTTAAATTAGGGTGCCACCCCATAGTTCAAGTTTGTTATTTTCAAGGTGACGGCGCCCGGTTGAATCCGTTTGCTGTGAAGTGACCGTGAGCTCAGAGGAGATCCCGTGGCGTTTGCTGGGTGCACGACGGAGCTGACCGATGGATCACGGTCGATACTCACAGAGTCACAGAGTAGAGGCACAGACACAGAGAACAAGATGGGGACCCTGAGTGGGTGAGTGAGTAGGTGGGTGTGTGAGGGAGTAGGTGAGTAAGTAGTTGAGTGGATAGGTGTGTGGGTGAGCAGGTGAGCGAGTAGGTAAGTAAGTAGTTGAGTGAGTAGGTGAGTGAGTAGTTGAGTAAGTAGATGAGTAGGTGAGTGAGTAGGTGAGTAGTAGGGTGCCACTCAACACACACAGTCACGATGTAGAGGCGTAGACACAGAGAACAAGATGGGGACCCTGAGTGGGTGAGTAGGTGGGTGTGTGAGGGAGTAGGTGAGTAAGTAGGTGAGTGGGTAGTTGAGTGAGTGAGTAGGTGAGTAGCAGGGTGCACTCAGCACACACAGAGTCACGGTGTAGAGGCGTAGACACAGAGAACAAGATGGGGACCCTGAGTGGGTGAGTAGGTGGGTGTGTGAGGGAGTAGGTGAGTAAGTAGGTGAGTGGGTAGTTGAGTGAGTGAGTAGGTGAGTAGCAGGGTGCACTCAGCACACACAGAGTCACGGTGTAGAGGCGTAGACACAGAGAACAAGATGGGGACCCTGAGTGGGTGAGTAGGTGGGTGTGTGAGGGAGTAGGTGAGTAAGTAGGTGAGTGGGTAGTTGAGTGAGTGAGTAGGTGAGTAGCAGGGTGCACTCAGCACACACAGAGTCACGGTGTAGAGGCGTAGACACAGAGAACAAGATGGGGACCCTGAGTGGGTGAGTAGGTGGGTGTGTGAGGGAGTAGGTGAGTAAGTAGGTGAGTGGGTAGTTGAGTGAGTGAGTAGGTGAGTAGCAGGGTGCACTCAGCACACACAGAGTCACGGTGTAGAGGCGTAGACACAGAGTGGAGGAGGGGCAAGGAACGGAGAGTCCAAGGAGGTTTCTCAGCTCTTGACTCGTACAGAGAAAGTAACGACGTGGAGAGGAGGGGGAGACCCCAAACAGTCTGAGACCTCTCTGTCCCCATGTGCTGCATGCTGGGTGGCACCCTAATATTTACATCATTTATATATAAACATACCTTGTATGTGATGGGGTGTGACGTGACCAATGACCTGATTGGCGGCATCCAATCAGGTCAGTCCTCGCGTTGAGCGGAACCCGATTCGCGATCGCCACAAAAGTTCTCAAACAAAAGTCGACAAAAATCAGATCGATAAACGTTTACATAGAAAAAAAAATCGACAATAAATTAACGACCTCCCTTACCAACGAACAAACTAACGATCAGCAGCAGACTCTACCGCGGCCTATCGGCGCTACAGCCGTCGTCATTATCATCATCATGGTCAAAAGCCGCTACACGCCCGCTCAAGTATTGCCCAGTGCCAGTTTGGCCTGCGAGTGTGCACGACTGTTACAGCGTCAACGTTAAAAATCACCGAAAGCCGCCGATCGTCACCATCACGACAAACGGGGACGTGTCTGGCCCTTCTTTTTGAGTACAAGTGCATGCGGAGGATGCCAGGGATTTCAAGGCAGCGACAAGGTTAAGCAACGTGGAAGTCTTGGAATATAATAGAACAGGGCAAGCAACGTCCAGCCTCGGAATATAACAGCAGGGGGATGGGGTAAGCAACTCCGAGCTTCAGATGAAAGCGTGGCAGGAAGGTGTTGGCCAAGTAACCAGGGAGGGAGGGAGGGTGGGAGGGAGGGGTCGTGATGGGTTTCAGGGTGGTAACTTTTCAGCCCTAACGTTTAGTGTTTATATAACAACGATAATAATCAAACATTTAAATTAGGTATACAGGAGAAGGTTATAAAGAGGAGCAAACCTTAAAACGGCGTCGCATCGCTGACGGTAGCAATCATATCATCATTGTTACTAATCATAATAAATACTCGGTTAAAAAACCGCCGTACAAAGGAACGCAGCGGCAGTAGCAGCGGCAGCGGCAGTAGCAGCGGCGGCGGTGGCGGTGGCCGCCAGAATTTCACAAACTGGACTCGGGGACCTCCCTCTTGCTCCTCGCCAACCACGTTCCGTACGGCGCCCCGCCGGGCCGCCCGCCGGCAGTGGCGGCGACCGCCGACGGCGCGCAGCGCGTGGCGGCGACCGCCGACGGCGCGCAGCGCGTGGCGCCGGCGGTGCCGGCAGAAGGTGCGATGGCGGTCGCCGGCGCCGCCGCCGGTTTAGTCGCCGCATCTTTCTTCTTGCCCTTTGACCTGTCCTCCGCTTTCGGCGCAACGGGGGCGACCGCCGCAACTTGCTTCGCTTTTCCGGACGCGCCGCTTCGAACGTTCGCCGCCTTCTTCCCCTGCTGCTGCTGCTGCTGCTGCTGCTGCTGCGCCGCCGCCGATGCCGCGGCGCTTCTCTTCTGCGTCGTCACGGCCGCCGTAGAAGCCGTAGAAGCGGAAGCCGAAGCCGCCCTCGTCGGCGATCGCTTCGGCGTCTGTCCTCGACCGCCGCCGCTCGCGCCGCTCGCCGTCCCGGCCGCACCGGCAGCTGGGACGGCGCCGGCGCCCCCGGCGGGCCGCTGGGTCACGTCCCTCCGCATCAGCGCCGCCCGGAACAGGGACAGTCGCCCCTCGGGCTTCCGCTTTGCCGCCGCGGCATCCGATTTGGCGGCAGCGTCGGCGGCGGCGGAAGGAGCCGACTTCTCCGATTTAGCGGCGGCGGTGACGCCGTCCGATTTGGCAGAAGCCGCGGATCGCTCGGATTTGGCAGGAGCGGCCGCGACGACGCCGACGCCCGCGGGTTTGGCGGCGGCGGAGGCGGCGTGGCCGCCCCTGTCCGGCTTGCCGACGTTCGCGGAATCGGTGCCGGAGTCCGTCCTGGCGGCGGCCCTCGCTCGCCGGCGGGGCGAGGAGGCGGCGGCGGCGACCGCCCCGGCCGCCGTCCCGCGCCTCTCGGGCCCCGGCAGCCGGCCGGACGACGACGAGAGCGACGAGCGGCTCGCCGAAGAAGACCGCTGCGCCGAAGCCGCCCTCCTCTGCCTCTGCAGCGACCCCGCGACATCCAACGACGCCGGCAGCCGGGCGGGCGACGCCGACGCCGCGTCCGACGATCGAGGGAGAGTCGTCGTCCTCCTCAGCGCCGCCGCCGCGCCGCCGCCGCCGGCCGGGCGCCGGCGCGGGTCGCCGGGCGGCGGCGGCGCCACGGAGGTGGAGGACGAGGAGGAGGAGGGGCGGCCGCGGGAGGGGGCGGCGGCGGTCGACGAGGAGGATTCCGGGACGGACCGCCGTTGCCGCGCCGCTCCAGGAGCGCCGATCCGACCCGTGCTGCTGCTGCTGCTGCTGCTGCCGCCGGTGCTGCTGCTGCTGCTGCTGGACCAGCAAGGAGGAGGTGGCGGAGGAGGAGGAGGGGGGGGCGTCTCGGCTGACGCTCCGAGCCCTGGGCAGGCCGTGACGCGAAGACGCGGCCGCCGCCGCCGCCCCGGCCGCGGCCGTCGCGGAGGGCCCGGCCGGGCCGAGGGAGGGGTCGGCCTTGCGGGGCAGCGTGGCCGGCATGGAGGCCGGGCGAGCCCTGACGGAGGGGAAGGAGGCCGCCGGCGAGGAGGAGGCCGACAAGGGAGGCAGGGCGCAGGAGTTGGTGTGGGGACGCCGCCCGTTGGCGGAGAAGGGCGACGACGGAGCCGTGGACTGGACCCCGCGGGCAAACGGGCGCGACGAGAAGCCGCCTGCGGGGGGGAAGGGGGGGGGTCACCGGAGAGGGGGGGGTCGCAGGGGAGGGGGTCACCGGGGGGGGGGGGGTCACAGGGGAGGGGGGGGGTCACAGGGGAGGGGGGGGGTCACCGGGGGGGGGTCACAGAGGAGGGGGTCACCGGGGGGGGGGGGTCACAGGGGAGGGTCACCGGGGAGGGGGGGGGTCACCGGGGAGGGGGGGGGGTCACCGGGGGGGTCACAGGGGAGGGGGGGCGTCAACGGGAGAGCCGTCGGACAAGTTTGGGCGACCGACGTTCTCCCCCCCCCCAAAACCCCCACCGGTAGTTACATTGTCATGGGAAATTTAATTGAGGGACTGTACTGTCGTTGTCTTCTTCGTGTGTATGCATGTACAGTGAGGGAAAAAAGTATTTGATCCCCTGCTGATTTTGTGCGTTTGCTCACTGACAAAGAAATTATCAGTCTATAATTTTAATGGTAGATTTATTTAAACAGTGAGAGACAGAATGACAACAACAAAAATCCAGAAAAACGCATGTCAAAAATGTTATAAATTGATTGGAGGTGCGGGGGTGGGGGGCAAACAAACTCAACACAACAACAACAACAAGCAGCAGCAGCAGTTCATATCGATGACGACGACCTGAAAGTGCAGAGCTCCAGTGGCTTCCTGGTATCGAAAGGAAGAGCGTTCCGGACGGCAAAATACAGAAATGCATCATGGGAGCGCACGGCAAGTAAGGCAACGTGACGGCGAGCGGCAGGCAAAGCAGTGTGAGATTCCGCAGCAGGGGATTCTGGGAGATGGGAATCAGCGGTAAAAACCCGGAAGAGGGGCACAGACCGATGAAGGGGCTGGCGCCATCTTCGTCCGTGGTGGGCAGCGGGTCGTGCGAGGTGGAGGGCGAGTCGTGCGGCGACGCGGGAGATGTCCCGCTGGTCGAGGCCTTCGACGCGAGGCTGGGCCTGCGCTCCAGGCCGGGCAGGCGGTTCACCCAGTGCTCCGACAGGGAGGAGCACGTGGAGCCTGGTGGACACACATGCACATACACGCACACACGCACGCACGCACGCACGCACGCACGCACACACACACGCACGCACGCACACACACGCAGACACGCACGCACGCACGCACACACGAGGACGGAGACACGCACGCACACACGCAGGCAGGCACGCACACACGCACGCGGGAAGACGGAGACACGCAGGTCAAACACACCGCCTCCTGGTGCCACTCTCTCCCTCTCTCACACACAAAACAAAGATCCCCCCCCGTGTAGCCTTAACAGACTATCGAGCACCTATGAAGGCCGGCACGGCACACGAGGGGGTGGGTGGCCAACGCCACGCCCGGCCGCCTTTGTCTCCCCAGTGGCGATGTTTACTCACCGCACCAGGTACCCATTTGAGGCCGAGTCGACCTAGGGTTAGGCCCAGGATCGGTTCTGATAATCGTCACCGGTGTTCGTAGTGCGGCACACACGTACACACACGTACACACACACGTACACACGCACGTATACACGCACGTACACACGCACGTACACACACACGTACACACGCACACGTACACACGCACACACACACAGTGCGCCCTCGTGACCCCGCATTACCCCCTGCGGGCACCCTCGCGAACCCTGCGTGGCTGGTACCGGCGTGGGAGCTGCTGGCCGACCAGGCCGGGATGGCGCTGCGTCTCTGGTAGAAGAGGATGTAGGCGGCTCGCGTGCACACCCGCTCCTCCTCCACCGCCTCCACCGCGCTGTCGTCAAAGCAGTACCACTGGCCATCCAGAGAGTTCTTGCAGAAGGCTACGAGGGAGACGGGGGGGGGGGGGTAGGGGGGGTGGAGAGGGTCAACATCTGAATGTATTTTTCCTGGAGGAATCCCATGAGCTATGAAGCTTTTTTTCACAGATGTCCAGGAGGGGCACGGGGTCAGAACGTTACAACAACAACACAAAAACACGATAAGAGTGCAAAGTATAGAAAAAGGTAATACAATTACAAATACATTTTTTTTTATCTTACCAGGTAAAGCCCACTGAGGTATTAACTTATTTTTTTAGAAGCGACCTGGCCACTAATGATGGCTCAACATAGTGGCTTATCATGACGTGCAAATTTATAGCAGCCCAATTATCAAAATAATATCCACTGCACGTCTCCAAATGTGGAGGGAACAAACCGTAGGACCCGGAGAAAAATTCCTCGATTTACTTGAGCAAGTGAGGCCCACACGACGCACGAGACAAGACACACGATGAGAATTTGATCGGCGGCCCGCGTACCCGTGTAGTGGCCCGACTGCAGCAGGCGGCCGTTGTGATTGCACACGGCGTAGAGGTCGTAGCGGAGGTCGTCGGGGTCGGCCCCCAGTCCGCGGGGTCGTCTCCACGGCGACCAGTGAGAGAGCAGCGTCCACGTGCTCTGCGAGCGGCGCACCACGTGCGGCGTCATGTCGAGCGCCGTCAGCGGGAAGCGCACCAAGGAGGACAGCTTGGTGCGACGCTCGCCCACCTGGGGGGGGGGGGCAGCGGGTGGGTGAGGAGCGAATGGGTGAGCGAGTGGGTGAGCGAGCGTGTGGATGAGCATGTGTGTGGGTGACCGTGTGGGTAAGCGTGCGGGTGAGCGAGTGGGCGAGAGTGCGAGTGTGTGAGTGGGTAAGCGGGTGAGTGTGTGGGTAAATATGTGTGTGTAGCCCCGGTCTCCTGGAGCCGAGTCTCAAGACCCTGAGACCCGGTCTCCTGGAGCCGAGTCTCAAGAC